TTTTTTCAGATTTTCATTTATAAATAACTTCTCAGTTTTTACATTATTGTATTATTTGAGTCCTTACACAAATGCTTATCAAATATATTCTTTTCTTTTCCTTGTGCTTTCTCCCTTTTAGAAACATGTTCAAAATCAGATATAAACATTGAGAATGGATATTTTTCTGAATCTGAGTTTACATATCCCCTAAATACACAAACACAATATAAGTGTAAATCAGGGTATGTCACAGAAGATGGTGAGACATCAGGGTCACTCACCTGTCTGCAGAGTGGATGGTCAGCTCAACCCGTGTGCATCAGTAAGTCACTGACTAGTTTAGTATTCATTATGCTGATGATCACTGTACAAAAGTTTACTTTGACTTCATTCTGTTTGTTTGTTTGTTTGTTTGTTTGCTAGGGGGTGAGGTGTTGATGTGGTCCCGTGGCTGCATTTGACAAGATAATCGACAAAATTTTGAGAAAATGTACATCATTTTTCCTTTTATGGTTAATCACTAGCAGGGTAGAATATCATGAGTTCCAGGTTTTTCACTTTAAAACATCCTGTTATTAAACACTATTTTAGCTAAGGAGACTTACCTGAACTCTGGTATAAACTTGGTTATTTTTAGCTGGTACCTTTCTTCTGATTGTACCTGTTTATAGTCTGAGACTTTTATGTCAGTCTTTCCTCCTAAACATAAAAGTTACGTTGTTAGGTCAAGATTTGGGTTTATAGTGCATAATCTTCAAATAATATACCCTGTATAATTTATAGATTTGAAACTGCAGGGTAGACCCACTTGTGAAACATTCTGTCCCTTAGGACGTCTTCAAAAACATCTAGTTAGTGGAGACAGAGAAACATTGTACATGGGACCAAACTCTGCTGTCCTGAAAGGTCTTCGTGCCCCACCACACAGACATGTATGAAGATCTCCTAAGAACAGTTGGCTGAGATTGTCTTCCTCGTCCCAAAGCCACGCAGTATTATTTTTGAAGTAGTATTTTATACATTCACTTTAAGTGAAGTGAATATTTAAAATATTCATTCCTACTATTTCCTTTATATTTCTCTTTTCCCCCAATGTCTATGCTTAGTACGAGCATGAGCCAAAGAGAAAATGATGAAAGTTGTCCCCATATCAAACTCATTTTGTACTAATATATGGACAATTTTCCATTCTCACACTCTCTTTATGGAAGAGAAAAGGTCCATTATTTTTTGGCTAGTCTAGTTTTGCCTTTTTCAAAGTTTTAAGGAAGCTGGCTACATAACACATTGTGAAATTTGAGATGAATTACTCAAACCTTTATTAACATCAGTCTGTTACAGTGTTAGTGAAGGTCAAGGCTATTCTTTAACATTTTACTTTCCTGTAACTAATTATAAACAATAGACTACCTCTGCATTTAACCTTGGTAAGTATAAAGGAATACTGAGCCATTAGAAACACATCTGGGAAAGCAAAATCAGCATGTGAACTTTAAAACTTAGTATGTTTTAAGGTAGAGTTTTATAGAATGTTTAAAATTTTACTCGCCTTGTTGAAAATTACTCTTTTTATTAAATTAACCAATTTTTTCTCTGGGATATATGTCACAACTTTTCATAAGTTTGGCATTTTAATTCAGATAATGCTATTTCTCTTTACTAAAAATAGTACAATACATATGTAACGGCCTGTTTCATTACTAGCATGGGATAAATACAAAAGATAACTAAACTGAGGAAAATATTTGTAAAATAAAATTTTCGGAGAGACTATTGAGAAAAATGTGGTGTAGAAATGTATTTTTTTTTCATTTTGAGTAACAATTTCAGGACAATGATCTATCACTGGTATTCTTAAATTATTTTTACATCATGAGTGATTAGCACATGCTAATTAGTAAAGCCCTTTCCCGCCTTGGGTTGAGACTTAATGAGATGGTGGACTACATAACATGAGAAATGAAACGTTTGATTCTGTTACCCATCAGAGTCTTGTGATAAGCCAGTATTTGAGAATGCCAGAGCCAAAAGTGGCAGTGAAGGGGCGTGGTTTAAGCTCAACGAGGAGCTGCAGTATGAATGCCTGCAGGGGTTCGAGAGCCCCGGGGGAAACACCACGGGTACCATAGTGTGCCGTGCGGATGGCTGGTCCGATAAACCCACGTGCTATGGTAAGTACTGTTTTCTCAGATGGTCTTTTTTTCCAAGATTGACAACATTAATAATAATTTTCAAACTTTTTTTTCCCCCAAATTTGACTGATCTAGAGTAGCTTTTAGGAACAACTATGAAAATCAGGTTTAATGTAAACTTGGAGGTAGGAAAGTTTTGAAATGCAAAGTCTCCCCTGTTACCCAAATTACAGTGTCTCATGCCCTCCTCAGCTATTTTGCTCTTGAGTTTCTGCTCCTGCGTCGAGGGTTCATTTCTGTAGGTCCTGAGAGGAGCACTCTACTTTCTGACTCTGATGAGTTCTGAGG